GGTGATCCGGAGGCACCAATGAGGAGGGGCACCAACCAGCAAAATGGCCCCGAACAGGGGGAGCGACAAGGTTTTATAGGGAAGGGGAGGAGAAAGGAGGGGAGCCCAGCTATCCAATGGGGAAACTCAAAGGGAGGTACTGAACATAACTGACATACACCAGAAACCAACGAATACAAAGTAAAGGAGGGGCCCCGGGACCACAGCCAACCACAACCCCCAGAGAGGAGAAGGTTCTCGAAACCTGGGAGGAGTGGGGGGTGATTGACTGTGCCCAGGGAGGAGAAAAACATCTACTTATAAGGTGGGATAAGGGAGGAGTGGTTCTACAAACTGTAACATTAGCAACTAAAAATAGCATGGTAACTAGGCAACTTAACTGGCGAGGAGGCAGTGGCGGGAAAAACTGGGGAGAGGGGAACCATTTACAAAGAACAAAGGAGGGTACAGTGCATAAACTGGGGGAGCAAACTGAGAAACTTAAAACACACTACAACAGGCACTGGCACTGCACTGTGCTGCGGGGCAGGACTGTCCGTGTGTCTGCAACCTGCCATACTCACCTCACAGTGAGGGGCAGCGGAGCCTTGCTGTCCCTGCCTGCCCTGCACTGACAGTGCGCTGTGCTGGGGGCAGGACTGTCCGTGTGTCTGCAACCTGCCATATTCCCCTCACAGTGAGGGGCAGCGGAGCCCTGCTGTCCCTGCCTGCCCTGCACTGACAGTGCGCTGTGCTGTGGGGCAGGACTGTCCGTGTGTCTGCAACCTGCCATACTCACCTCCCAGTGAGGGGCAGCGGAGCCCTGCTGTCCCTGCCTGCCCTGCACTGGCACTGCACTGTGCTGTGGGGCAGGACTGTCCGTGTGTCTGCAATCTGCCATAATCCCCTCCCAGTGGCGGGCAGCGGAGCCCTGCTGTCCCTGCCTGCCCGCTGAGCTCTGCCACTCCACACGGCTCTGGCATGGAGTCCGCCTGCATTAGCACTGCAGGGGAATTGGCGTGGAGAGCCTGCAAAACAAAAATTATATGGTACACCCCTGCAGTGAGAATGCATCCAAATGCCCACACTCAGATGAGAAAATATTTTGTTTGCTGATGGAAATACCATTTTCTTCTGTTCACTCAGCCTGCCTCACATAATTCAGAGGTTAAGGTGGGAATAATCCAGGGGACTGGTATAACCCAATACTACCAGAGCCAGAGATGGAATTTCATGCATGGAAGGGAAAATTGATTCTATCTAAATATATTTCTCCTTAAAAACCTGGTTCTTGTCCAGTGGGCTTTGAGGAAAACAGGAATAATAGTAGAGCAAATCTCTCTACTGCAGGTGCTGAATCAAGGTGCTAGGTCAGAAATATTTACTAAAATAGCCTTTTAAGCATGAAAAGTCACAACAACTTAAAAACATATATAGTAAGTAACAGGACACCATATTTTTAATCATGTCTTTATTACATCATATTTCATCATTTGCTGTAATTGAGTTTTGCAGTTTTGATCATGTCTGCTTTGTAATTTTCTCCCTCTAGTCAGTCAAGAAAAAAGGATGATATGGTAACAAGAACAAAATTAAGATTCTGTAGCTATGTAAATAGCTGGAAATTA